CCCAGAAATTAGGATTTAAAATGATTCCCAGGTGACTCTAATGTGCAGCCAAGGTTGAGAACCACTGCCTTATAGGTTATCTGTGATTTTTATAAAAGGTATCCAAGGTCCTTCACTCTGCCTGGATGTCATACAAAATATGGACTTTCCCATTCCCCTTTTGTCCCCCCAGAAATACTATCTTAGGGCCTCAGAAGAGGGGAAGACAGGCCCCTTGCAAGGCTCATGGCTTTGAAGTGGGAAGCACTCTAGTCTGTCTTTTTGGGTTTTGTTTGTATGGCACAACTAAAACTTAATTTTGTTGTATTTAATTTTATTTACCGGTGGTGTGTTTTCACCTTAATTATAAAATAAATATTAAAAGATCAACTTCGCCAGGCCCAGTGACAATATCCAGTTTGGGTGCTTCTATAAGTCCCTGAAGAAATCAGAGAGCAGATGGGAAACAATTGCAACAGAACCTCTCACATTATAGCTGAAACCTTATCCAAACTGCTGTGGAGAGTATGTTCTTTCTGTTTCACTTACTAAATCTGGAAATGTGACAGCTTTTGGGGACTTTGTCCCCTGGCGGGTGATAAATACAGTCCTGGCATTTTTCATGTTCTTTGGCAGAGCCATGGTTTTCCAGAAGTCCTTCGGGAAGGTTCCTGTAGAGAGAAATCGAGATTTGAAAATATGTCTTCATGACTTATACTGGCTGCTTAACATGAAATTGGTTATTTTACTTTTTTAGAAGTAACCCAGAAGCATCATAACCATTATTTCTGTTTTCTTTGTTAATTAAAATAAGCCTACTATGTCCTATTTTTTAAATACATTTTTACTGATTTCAGAGAGGGAGGAAGAGGGAGAAATAGAAACATCAATGATGACAGAGAATCATTGATCGGCTGCCTCCTGCACGCCCCCTACTGAGGATCAAGCCCAGAACTTAGGCTTGTGCCCTGACCAGGAATCGGTCTGACTATTCATTTTAATACCAGGGTTTTGTTTTTTCCCTCCTAATTCCCTCCTGGTTCATAGGTCGACGCTCAACCACTGACCGACACTGGCCTGGCTACTGTATACCATTTCCATGTCTCTGCAGTCCGTTTCTTTCATGTAACTTATGCCTTTGTCTCCTCTTGATTAGAGCTTCTTGTTAAGGATTTTTGTTTTCTTCCCTGGAAATATCGCTTGTATTACCCTTCCTGCCTGTGACTAAGCTGTGTGGACCAGCGGGAGTCTGCCCCTCGAGATAGACAGATCCTGGTTTGCATCCTGGCTCTGCCACTTCAAAGTTGCTTAACTGCTCTAAGCATCAGTCGACTGAACTATGAAGTGGGAATCATTATGCCTCAGCATGGAAGGACTGACCAGAAATACGTAAATAAATAATCCATACGGAACAGTGCCTCCTCCCCCAGTCTTGCCCGGATGAGCCTGCTAGAGAGGAACTGTTACTCCATAACACTTTGTTCACAACACTCAAGTGACATAGGCATTGTGGTTTTCTGACCTTTTCTTTGGCTGGCTGTTTTGGTAAATCTTATAAATTTTTTTTAAGAGATCCATATTCATGGAGATGATTCAAAAGTGAGCAGCGTTAGTTCTTATGTGTCATTTTGAAATTTAAAACCCATTAGGGCAGAGACCAGGCACCAGAACAGCCTATGTGGGTGACACGTTAGCTGAGTAGGAATCTCTCAGGCTGGTTATACTAATTTAATATCTCATTTTGAAAACTTTACCATTAGCACACTTGCTAACTTTTCATTTTAATACCAGGATTTCGGTTTTTTTCCCTCCAAATTTTAATACTTCATAATTTCAATTTTAGCAAAAAAAAAAAAATTAACTTTTATTCCTCTGCCTTAACTCTGTAGATGATTAATCCTGCTTTCCTTCTTATTGCACTGATTTTTTTTTTTAAATGTTCCCAGTAGGCTGAATGCTATGCTACCAACATAGCAGAAAAAAACCTATTGGGGAAATGTTTTGTGGTCATTTGCACTGATTTTTGAAGATCTGACTCTTGTAGCTTTAGTGCTAAGTGCTGAAGGATCTAGGGAATAAAGGAGATTGAGATTCTAAGACCTGAGTTCTGGTTGTCTCATTTCAATAGGTAGACGTACTTAGAACTTCTCTGGGACCTAATGCCATCAGTATCCTGAATTGGTGGAAATAATTACAGCCAGAAACGGTGTTAAGTCACTGCTGTGCCAGGATATGTTTTTAAAACCCCTATTGTATATTTTCCTATTTATGTTTTGTCAAATGAAAATGTTCTAAGAACTTAAACTCCTGTTGGCAGCAAGGGCATTAAATTTTCCCCGGGGGGATAATTTTTTTGTCCTTCTAAGATGAGATCACCAGCCCCAGCACAGCTTGCATGCAGCCAGGCATTAGCTAATGGCCGTGAGGTAATGCCAAGTCTGACACCAACTCCTGTAGGCAGAGGGCCCTGCTCCCAGGAGTGGGACTGGTGCCTTCATGTGGGAAAAGCAGATGGTGACAATGAGAGCAAATGTGCAGCTGTCTGATGCAATGAGGATTTTATTTACCATGACCTAATCTTTTAATAGTGCATGAAGGTCCACTGACACTGTTGCAATATATATTATTCAGATCCTAATAATGAAGGAACAAAGTACATTATAGTGTTTGTTGCTGAGAAATTCTTCTCAAATAATTAGACTCTGTTTTAAATCCTATTCTGAAAGAATACATGTTTTTATTTTATTTTAGCCACCAACTGCCTTCCTGAAACAAAACTATCTCATCTCTGATATCAGAAAGTGCTGATATTAATGCCATATGTCCTACTTAATGCCATTCGTGAATATAAAGACACCCTATGAAACCAGATAATCCCTGAGATTCCTGTAGGTAGTGCCCAACACCACACTGAAAGCATATCTAGTAATTTTCTTTGCCCGTTTCCCAGTCTTGGACAGTTTTTCCTAACAACCCCCACTGTACGCATGACCTTAAGCCAACGGTCTTCTGTCCTCTTCTGAACTGACCTCTGAGCAAGATTTGAAGCAGCCCAACCCTCCTTGAAAGACTTCTGCGTGCTCTGGCACCCCACATTCACCTGGTCCCGCCACCACCGACCACCACCACCTCCCTTTGGCCTACTTCCTCTGGTAGCCCTCTAAGGACCAGAGTGCCCAGTATTTCTCCAGCCCTGCTCTGTCCCTGAGTTCCAGCCTCTTAACCACCTTTATGTGTGCCTCTGCGCCAGCCTTTTACAGGGGCTGCTCCTCTGCCCAGCAGCAGGGTGGTCTGTTGAAAGCTTGCCGTTTCTCCTGGGCTGAGAACACTCCGTGGTTTCTCCTTGCAGAATCGGAGCTGCCCTTGGCTCCGAAGGTCGCCTTTCCTACTTCACCTCCCTTTACCGTGCACTGTCTAAACCGGCCTTTCTGCATCATGAATACACCAGGCGCTTGCAGGACCTCTGTGCTTGCTGGTCCTTCCCCCAGCAAGGACAGCCCCTGCTGGTAGCCTTCTTGTCATTTAGCTCTCAGTGTAAATCTGTAATTATCCTTCCTCAGTTAAGAAAGAAAGAGAGATTGAGAGAGTAATGGGCTACATGACACACACCTTCACAAAGGATTATTCTCAGGTTTGACTCACAGAAACCTTTACCAGTGCAGGGGAAGCAGAGGGAGGCGTGGCAACCTCATGTGGAAATGGCCATGCTATGTATTACTTTGGAGAAATAATCTTTGGAATATAAGGCAGTGATCGTATAGTGACTGACTCTGATTAATTTCTACTTTCTTTATATTCTAGTTAATAAAAGTATCCATGGATAACACTGATGACTCAGTGGATTCAAAGTCCATCAAGAATTCGGACATGTGAGTATTTCCCTGGGATCCATGTAATGAAAGACGGTTGTGATTCAGCAAACTCTGAGGAGTGGGGAAGCAGAAAGAGGATGGGGCTCCAAGCCGAGACCCACTTGGCTCTCTACCTCAACAGCTGTGTGGCTTTCCGCACGTTAACCTCTCCCAAGTCTCCTCTTTAAAACAAAGACTTCCCGGGACTGTGGGTAACATTGAGGGAAAGACCAGATCCATTGCTGGGCCCCTACTCGGAAGCCCGTTCCGGAAGCAGAGGGACCTCACAGGAGAGGCAGGACTCAAAGGCTCTGTCCCTCCCCACACTGCTCTGCCGGGCGAGAGGGTTCGTGGGGGGGTTGTTTGGGCCTCCTGTCTATTTATGGGTTTTAAGACTAAAATGAAATGCCAGTTCTCAATCTGGGAAAAATTGCCTAGTTATAGATTATCTTTTACCCTTTATTTTCTCATTCTTTCTGTTTGCGATATTCTGTGTATTAATGCTTCCAATAACCAGCAGATAGAGAAAGGAAAGAGATAAAACTCAAACACTCTTAACTCATATCTTTATTACCTATTTGGGATCTCTTGTGATACTTTTAATTCTAAAAGTTTATTTCTGGGACCCAGTATTCTTATTTTGGACTATTCAAGGAATTACAGGCTAATTCTAGTACTAAATAGCAGTATTACAGCAATACTATTAACAGGTTGCCCATAAGAATTTAGCAATGATTGTTTAGTAAAGGAATTTCCCTAGAAATTAAACTTTGAAATATGTTTAGTAAAGGAATTTCCCTAGAAATTAAACTTTGAAATATGAGCTCATTTTAGAGGATTTTAATTTCTTTTTAAAACATAATTTAATAGCAAATTGCATGGGAGCCCAAAATAGACTTAGGTCTGTTTTGATCCTATGGTATGTTATCATCATGTTCCTAAGCTTTCTGAGTCTCTGCTGTGTATCAGGTATGTCCCCTACCAGTCCAATTATTTTATTAATTGATTTATTGATTGCCTGTGGAGGAGCATGTACCCTAAGGGGGCAGCAGGAGGCGGTGGGGAATTAATTCTGGGATCCATTATCTGTGTGACCTTCAAGAAGTCACTCAGCTTTCAGAGTTTGAACTTTCTTATCTGTAGAATGTGACTTCCTTTATTTACAACTTACTGTTCTCACCTTTTCCCAACCACTTTTTTAGAGCTGTGTGTAATGGGCAGTGCTCTCAGATAAAGTGCAGAGTACGTGGTCTGTAGATACCGATGTTTGTTCGTGATTCCTGGTCTAGACCAGGGGTCATGCTTGCACTCTTTTGGTCAAGTTTTATTGGAACATAACCACACCTGCTTGTTTAAATATCGCCCTGGGCTACTTTCACCAGCAGAGCGACAGACATCATGTGGCCTGCAAGCCTAAAATGCTTAGTATTTGGCCCTTTTGAGGGAAAGTTTGCTGGCCCTGATCTGGATAATAAGAGGTTTTGGGATAAGTGACCTTCAGACAGGTATTTTCCATTATTTACAATAGTGATTCTATGTATTAATACATTTTTAATTTGTTCACCTCATAGGTTTTAAGGAACAATTTAGGAATTGTGATACATATTGTGCTTTTAAAGTGAAAAATGTATTTGATGGGATTTTAGTAAAATTGAGAGGAAAGCAGAGTATAGAGATGAAAAGCCTGCACTCAGCCTCGGCGCTGACACAGCATCTGCGTGACCTTCCTCACGTTGCTTAGCCTCGTGGTGGTCATTTCCTCTCTGCGAAAGGGATGCTGCAAATGTTCACTGTGCTTATGTGTGACTCAGTTGTATCCATGCGAACAGCAACCTTTGTGAACTGTTGTTTGATTTCCAAACAGAAAGCCCTTCCATGGCAGCAAATCCATGGACTCTGGGATATCCTTGGACGATACTTACAAGATGGATTATCCTGAAATGGGCTTATGCATCATAATCAATAATAAGAACTTTGATAAAAGCACTGGTATGTATCATGACCTAATTTTTTTTTAACTCTTCAATATTTGTGCCATTTATATTTGGTATAATATCAAAGATAGTATTGATGTTATTACACTGACACAGAATAGCCATGAAGTGGAGATAGAGCAGGATGCTACAGGCTCTACAACACAGATGAACTCTTCTGTAGCTAATCTACCATCATCAAAGTCTCTCCCTTTTCCAACACCTCGCCTCCTAGCTGACTGTCTGCCTCTCGGCCCTGACTTCTGTAACCCTTGCTTCTCTGTCCATCTGCCTCCTCTTTTATGCTAATGAATGGACCACAACAAATAGTAAGTAGTAGTGTTTTCCTTTCCAGGAACTGCAAGGTACCTCAGAGGTATTGTCTCATCTAATTTTTACAGCAACCCTGAGAAGTAACCACTCTTAGATGCCAAAGGTTAAGCTCCCCGCAGAGTCCCACAGGTAACCTAGTGGCAGAGCTGCCCTCAGCCTTGGCACCTGACCCCAGCCAGCTCTGAGCCCACTTCCTGTTTCTTTACTTCCCGTGTCTTCATGTGTCTTGTTGACTTTTTCTCTTCCCTGCAAAGATGACAGACTCCCGTCTCAATGAGACCTTTCTTTTGTCCCGCTTCCTCGTAAGCTTGGATCTATTTTTTGTCTCCTTTCCTACATTTTAAAAACTTGTGCTTTAAGCTTGCCATCTTCACTTCCTTCCAACCCCCTTAAACCGGTATTCCCTGTTTTCCACCTCCAACACTCTACTGAAACTCCTGTTAGGTTCACCTGGCATGATCACCAAATTCCCTTCTCAGCCTCTACGGTGTACAATTTGGATCTAATAATACCTTTCAGAATGTTTTTAGAAGATTATCAGTAAGTTGTAAAAAACAAAATTCCTCACAATCCTAAAAAGCTAATTAACATGGTGATATATTGCTTGCTGTTTTTTCCTTGACAGTTTCTTTCAAAGGTTAATTTTATTCATAATATACAAGCAATATTATATCCTGCTTGTTCCACTTAAGGTAACATAAGCATATTTTATGGTGCCATATAATTTTTATATCTGATATTTTAATGATTATATAATATTCCACACCCTAAATATACCTTTCACTTGATTTGAAAATTGACCATAAAGATGAACATTTTGGCTATTTTTTTTTTCAATTTTTTCACCTATAAATTGCTGCTCTGATAATTCTTTGAATTGACATATTAAATCATATTAGAATTAATTTTTATTTAAAGACACTGGAGGCAACAGATCCAGAGTGGTGGTGAAAATGGCAAGAAGTGAGATTACACTGGAAAGAGAAGCAGGATTTGATGTTTGGTTTGCTATAGAAGTGAGGAGAGATCCGTTGAAAATAGATGTCTAAATCTGAGTGGCACCATTTTTACTGCCTTTATTGCCTATAAATCGAGATGCCACGTTCAGCCACTAGATGTTGTGCCTCACACTGCTAGTAATGGTTCCCTTCTCCTGTAGAATTTTACATGGAACCTATGCTTTTATAAAAAAGGTTGTTACTCCACTCTTTCCCTAAAAAATACTTAGACCAGTAGCCTGATTTTTGCCTTAGAGTGAGCTTCTCTTCTGCTTGGAGATTTCAAGGTCAGGTTTTCACAACATCCTCTGGCCTCTGATGTTTCCTCTTCTACCACTAGGTGCCCACCAACCAGGACCAGAATTCAGTCGCCTTGTCACACAGTGCATGTCCTCAGCCTTTCAGTGTAAAACCTGGGGAAGTTAGCCCTGGCCAGTGTGGCTCAGTTGGGTGGGCATTGTCCCTCGCACTGAAAAGTTGCAGGTTTGATTCCCGGGCAGGGCACATGCTCTGTTGCCGCCTTCATCCCTGGTGTGGGGCGTGCAGGAGCCAGCCCATTGTTTCACTTTCACATCGATATTTCTCTCCCCCTCTCCCTTCCTCTCTAAAAATTTTTTAAAGGCCCCTTGGAGATTGTAAAGATAATATATGCCCATAATAGAAATTTCAGATTAGCCTAAGAGAAAAATTAAAATCAGTCGTAATTACACTACTCATAAATAATATTTTAGAGATAAAGGCATTCTTTTTTCCATTCATGCATCTTAAATTTACTCAATTCTAAGGTGTGTTCCCCACAACACTTTAGCATTTTTTTAAATATATTTTTCTTTTACAGAGAGGAAGGGAGAGGGATAGAGAGTTAGAAACATCTATGAGAGAGAAACATCGATCAGCTGCCTCCAGCACACCCCCTACTGGGGATGTACCCACAACCAAGGTACATGCCCTTGACTGGAATCGAACCTGGGACCCTTCAGTCCGCAGGCCGATGCTCTATCCACTGAGCCAAACCGGTTAGGGCACACTTTAGCATTTTTAATCTGAGTGCCTGGTACAATCAAACTACATTTATGGACCCAGCACGCTTAATCAAACTACATTTATGGGAGCCCAGGAAGGACCCTGGGTCGAGGTCTCACACTAGCATTGCTACTGCGGAAAGTTCCTGAGCTCCTGTGCGCTCATGTCCTACATCTGGACAAATGAAGCCAATCATAGTACCTGTCGCATGGTTAGTGGGAGGATTAAAAGAGGTTGCCCATGGCAGAATGCCGGTGAAAAGTATTAATTGGTAGTGGTTTGTGTTTTCGTTTTGTATTTCTTAAAAAGACATTGTGAAGGTAGCGATGTATATTAAAATAGTGAGGAACATAAAATCAAAGAAATATAGTTCCTCTCAGTGTGTGAGGTTGTGTATTGTTAAAATTTTTTAAGAAGTATTTATTATTCTTTAGTCTTTTTTAAGGAATGTCCATTTCCCATGGCAGAATTTTGTCTACAATAATTTTAATGGCAGCACCGTATTCCACTATATAAACAAGTCATAACGTATTTCACCAAATCGCTCTTTAGGCATTTGAGTTGTTGCTGTTGGCACTGTCCAGCAGCTGTGAAAGACATCCTGGTGGCTATAGCACGTTGGCGTCTGCTTACATGATGGCACACTGAAAGCTCACATAGGAAGTGTCTCAGATGCTAAGAAATTAAAAAGACTTCGTGTCACTGTGATAAGAATAATTGAATTTATTGTCGATTGCGTGAATTATTGTCGATTGTGTGAATCATTGAAAAGTTCATTTCATTTCAGAGCAGTTAATCTTTTTTTAAAAATCCAAATAAAAGTAATGCTTTCTGTTCCAAGGAATGGCATCTCGGTCGGGTACAGATGTTGATGCAGCAAACCTCAGGGAAACATTCACAAAATTGAAATACGAAGTCAGGAACAAAAATGATCTTACCCGCGAGGAAATTGTGGAACTGATGTGCAGCGGTAAGAAATAACTAAAAGAATGCCTCAATGTCCAGTTTTATCCAAGGACAATTTTATTGTCCAAGGTCTAGCTGTGATTATACATATAATAACAAAACAGAAGAATTGTAGAACTACACTGTGCATAATCCTACTCTGTGTATCTTATATAGGCAAGATCAGAGTTATTCGTGCCCAGTCTCTAAAATGGTGTGGGTAGGTTGCTCTGCCCCTAGTTGGGTTTGGGTGATCTCTTAGTTCTGTTCCCAGTTTCTTCATCTTATCCCCATATAGTATGTATGAGATTGTTGAAAAGAGTTGTGTTCTTTTTTGTTTGTTATTTGTTTTCTTAATTGTAAACATTTTTCCAGTTTCTAAAGAAGATCATAGCAAAAGGAGCAGTTTTGTTTGCGTGCTTCTAAGCCATGGTGACGAAGGAATAATTTTTGGAACAAATGGACCTGTTGACCTGAGAAAATTAACAATTTTTTTCCGAGGGGATTACTGTAGAAGTCTAGCTGGAAAGCCCAAACTTTTCATTATTCAGGTAATCTATAACTGAGCAACTTGGCTACAGAGGATGTATTGGGGATTGAGTCACTCAATTGTGGATTAGCCAAAAGATTTTTTCCCTGAAGCTACTGAACTATTGTTACTTTCTTACTCATTTTAACTACCACTAGGAGATACAGAATGAATTTTAATTTTAGACTTGCATCAAAAAGATTCTGCATAGCCCTAACCGGTTTGGCTCACTGGATAGAGCGTCGGCCTGGGGACTAAAGGGTCCCAGGTTCGATTCCGGTCAAGGGCATGTACCTTGGTTGTGGGTACATCCCCAGTAGGGGGTGTGCAGGAGGCAGCTGATGGATGTTTCTCTCTCATTGATGTTTCTAACTCTCTATTCCTCTCCTTTCCTCTCTATAAAAAATCAATAATATATATTTTTTTAAAAAGATTCTGCATAGTTAACATCAACTTTTACATAGCCTTTACATTTCTTAGAAATCAGTTATGTGTGTACACATTTTTAAAAAATAAATGTTTATTCTCTAATGGCTAGGCCTGCCGAGGAACAGAACTGGACTGCGGTATTGAGACTGACAGCAATATTGATGATGACATGGCATGTCAGAAAATACCAGTGGAGGCAGACTTCTTGTATGCATATTCTACAGCACCTGGTAAGAAGTCACAAACCCTGAATGTTATATGTAGGTTTTAAACAATGGAGAGTATGCTCCAAAGGCTGTCAATATTTCTATATCCATAAAAAATAGCTAACTTGTTTGTATTTGAGGGTACCTTGACCACAGAAAGGTCTCAAAAAGTGGTTTTTAGCCAAGTTTGGCTAGAAAATAGACATCTATAAGAAAGCAACTTACAGTGGCATTCATGAACCTAATATCAGATAGGATACTGTATTGTAATATAGGCCAACTCATCGCTTCACCCACTTCTTGGAATAGGGGAGAGGTATGTTTTCCAGGAATTCTTTGGAAGATGGGAAATAAAAAAGTTAAATATGAGTCGTACTTGGAGGGTAGAAGTGGAATGAGGGAAAAGAAATAAAGTAAATGATACACAAATAGGTTATTAGCCTCTGCTTTATGTGTGTGTGTGTGTTGCACATATCATCATGTAAATAACTGTTATGCATACAGTTATTTATTCAACTAACACGGGAGATCACAGAGTTTTGAAGTACAGGATAAATGTATTTTTAGACAGAGTTACATTTTCAAATCGATTTTTTTAACCTCTAGGCATTTTTCCAAGTAAAGTATTTCTAAATTAAAAGCAATGAACCCAATAGTTAATCTGAAAAAAGTACAATAAATACACTGTTTCCCGTTGTGGACTTTAATACTCCGTAATGAGTGTATTACACTTTATTTGGGTGCTGTGTAGACAGAGTTAGGACACTCACATGTGTGCATACATAAGCAGTTTATTTCTTGGATAAACCAAATGTCTGATTGAAGACTGTGCTCCGTATAGTGAGCCTTTTGCTGCTTCATCTGCGTGTTCATCGTTCTTCCCCTTTGGGAGGAAGCCCAGAAAGGAGAACTCAGCAACTCAATGGCGAAGTTCATCCACATTTCTTTTGTTTCCTGGTTGAAAACAGCGTTGTGTGCACAACACATATTTCTGTTGTTTTCTTTCCCCTCAGCGTCATTTCCCCGAAACCAAATGTGTATTTATTTTTTTCCTTTTGATGGTTAATAATACCGACGGAAGTTTATGCTTGTTTTACCTTTATGGTTATATAGAATTTAGAATCAGATACCCATGGTACTTTGGTTATATTTTGCCTTGTAGGTTACTACTCCTGGCGAAATTCAAAGGATGGATCCTGGTTCATCCAGTCGCTTTGTGCGATGCTGAAGCTGTACTCGCACAAGCTGGAGCTCATGCACATCCTCACTCGGGTTAACCGGAAGGTAGCCACAGAATTTGAGTCCTTCTCCTTTGACTCTACTTTTCACGCAAAGAAACAGATTCCATGCATTGTGTCTATGCTCACAAAAGAACTGTATTTTTATCACTAAAGAAATGTATGATTTTTCCTTTTTAATTTGTTTCCCAAGTGAGGAGAAGGGTTTATACTGTGTCTTCCCTCATTTAAATCTACTCTGGTACTCCCAGGAGTACTTTCATAGCAATAGAGCCACTATGACGCTACCTCAAACTCAGAATCGGGTAGTTGAAATTGAATTTAATTAGGAATAAATAAATGGTAGTGGTACAATTATGAGAAGAACTGATTGTAAATTAAAAGATCTGACAATTAGCAAGTTTTAGTGGTGCTATGCTCTGAATTTTCAAGTAATTATGGAGTTAAACATTGAGTAACGAATTTCATTAATACTGATATGCTCTCATGTAAGCGTATTCTCGTTTTCGTCAAACTATAGGAATTATGATAGAATAGTGTGTGGTGATGGAATAATGTATCCTAGGATTTAGGGGCCATGTGCATGGCCAAGGCATGAGGATCTTGATTTTAGAATAGGTGTCTTTGGATGAATTAGCTGTGTTTTTAGGCCATTTATCTGAGCATATGGTAATGTTTATGCTGAACATGTATTTTGTTGTAAAAAATCATGTTTAATATTGAAAAAGAGCCTAAATATTTTACTTGAAAGTGTGGGCAATCTAAGTTGACACTTTCAAGGCTGAATGCATCCTTACTAGCAGAAGAGAGAGTTAGAACTCTCGGGTGCTATACGGCAGCTCATCCGCCAGCAGGTTCTCCCGGTTTGTCCCTGAGCAAGCTGAAGAGCTGTTAGTAAAAACCTCCCAAGCAGACCAGCTGATAGCATCGTGAGTTGAAGACATTCCATGAGAACACACTAAAATACAACTGATACGATAAACCGTGAAATGTGAGCAGGACATAGTCAGTCAGTGCGGGGCACTTTGTCAGTCCAAGGTGGTTTGGGCCTGAGCACAGACAGCGCAGCCGTGTCATGAAGGCAGGACCGCAGGCTCCGGCTCCAGGAAGAGGACTGTGTGCCTGGAGACTGTCCCAGAGGAGGGCTCTCCAAGACACGCACCAAATCACAAACTCTGAAATGGAAGCTTTCCAAAGAACATGAGAGTCACAACAAAGACCGGAGCGCCCTCCGCAGTAAAGTATCTGAGCGTGTTCTTTTCTGCTGAAGTCTGCGATCAAAGGAAATGATGCTGTTATAGTTGCTTACTGCTCTCCGACATGAAAGGGCTATAGCACACAGCAAGGAGAAGGCATCCAGTCTTCCCGCTTTGGTGCTTGGTGCCCGGGAAACAAGGAGGGAAGCAGCGCAGTCATTACCCCCAACACCCCCCCGACACCACCACACCACCACACCACCACACCACCACACCACCACACCACCACACCACCACCACCACCACACCACCACACCACCACACCACCACACCACCACACCACCACCACCACCACCACCACCCCCCGACCCCCGCTCACCCCCCGCCCCCTCCTGCCCAGGAGGCGGGCTCCAGCTCCTCACTTGGGAGGCCTGGTTCTCATTGTCAAGCTTCCTGGGCTCAAAGAAAGCAACTCGCATTTGTAAATGACGGTT